ACTGAAGGCATTCCCTCTAAAATCTGGAACAAGACAGGGATGCCCTCTCTCACCACTTTTATTCAATATAATTTTCAAAATACTAAAAAGCCAGAGCAATTAGACAAAAGAAATTAAAGGCATAAATATAGGAAAATAAGAACTTATATTATCACTATTTGTGGGTGATATGATACTATATCTAACAGACCCAAAAGGGTCTACAAAAAAACTACTAGAGCTAATAAATGAATTCATCAAAGTGGCAGGATATAAAATCAACATGCATAAATTAAAGGCATTCCTGTATATCAGCTACAAATCTTCTGAAATGGAAATGAGGACAACCACCCTATTCACAATATCCTCAAAAAAAAAATAAAATACTTGGGAATCAACCTAACAAAAGAGGTGAAAGATTTATACAATGAAAACTACAGAACCCTAAAGAGAGAAATAGAGGAAGACCTTAGAAGATGAAAAAATATACCCTGTTCATGGATAGGAAGAACTAACATCATCAAAATGGCAATATTACCCAAAGTTCTCTATAGGTTTAATGCAATGCCAATCAAAATCCCAACGGCATTTCTTGTAGAAATAGATAAAGCAATCATGAAATTCATATGGAAGAACAAAAGACCCAGAATAGCAAAAGCAATTCTAAGCAGGAAGTGTGAATCAGGCGGTATAGCGATACCAGATTTAAAACTATACTACAGAGCAATAGTAACAAAAACAGCATGGTACTGGTACCAAAACAGGCGGGTGGACCAATGGTACAGAATAGAGGACACAGAGACCAATCCACAAAATTACAACTATCTTATATTTGATAAAGGGGCTAAAAGCATGCAATGGAGGAAGGATAGCATCTTCAACAAATGGTGCTGGGAAAACTGGAAATCCATATGCAACAAAATGAAACTGAATCCCTTTCTCTCACCATGCACAAAAGTGATCTCAAAATGGATCAAAGAGCTTGATATCAAATCAGAGACTCTGCACCTGATAGAAGAAAAATTTGGCTCCAATCTACATATTGTGGGGTCGGGCTCCTAATTCCTTAATAGGACACCCATAGCACAAGAGTTAATAATTAGAACAAACAAATGGGACTTACTCAAACTAAAAAGTTTTTTCTCAGCAAGAGAAACAATAAGAGACGTAAATAGGGAGCCTACATCCTGGGAACAAATTTTTACTCCTCACACTTCAGATACAGCCCTAATATCCAGAGTATACAAAGAACTCAAAAAATTAAACAATAAGATAACAAATAACCCAATCAACAAATGGGCCAAAGACCTGAACAGACACTTCTCAGAGGAGGATATACACTCAATCAACAAGTACATGAAAAAATGCTCACCATCTCTAGCAGTCAGAGAAATGCAAATCAAAACCACCCTAAGATACCATCTCACTCCAGTAAGATTAGCAGCCATTATGAAGTCAAACAACAAGTGCTGGCGAGGATGTGGGGAAAAGGGTACACTTGTACATTGCTGGTGGGACTGCAAATTGGTGCAGCCAATTTGGAAAGCAGTATGGAGATTCCTGGGAAAGCTGGGAATGGAACCACCATTTGACTCAGCTATTGCCCTTCTCAGACTATTCCCTAAAGACCTTAAAAGAGCATACTACAGGGATACTGCCACATCGATGTTCATAGCAGCACAATTCACAATAGCTAGACTGTGGAACCAACCCAGATGCCCTTCAATAGATGAATGGATAAAAAAATGTGGCATTTACACACAATGGAGTGTTATGCCGCACTAAAAAATGACAAAATCATGGAATTTGCAGGGAAATGTATGGCATTAGAACAGATTATGCTAAGTGAAGCTAGCCAATCCCTAAAAAACAAATGCCAAATGTCTTCTTTGATATAAGGAGAGCAACTAAGAACAGAGCAGGGAGGAAGAGTAGGAGGAAAAGATTAACTTTAGACATGAGGTGGGAGGGAAAGGGAGAGAAAAGGGAAATTGCATGGAAATGGAAGGAGACCCTCATTGTTATACAAAATTACATATAAGAGGTTGTGAGTGGAAAGGGAAAAAAAAGAAAAAAACAAGGGAGAGAATTAAATTACAGCAGATGGGGTAGAGGGAGAAGATGGGAGGGGAGGGGAGGGGGGATAGTAGAGGATAGGAAAGGTAGCAGAATACAACAGTTACTAATGTGGCATTATGTAAAAATGTGGATGTGTAACCGATGTGATTCTGCGATCTGTATTTGGGGTAAAAATGGGAGTTCATAACCCACTTGAATCTAATGTATGAAATATGATATGTCAAGAGCTTTGTAATGTTTTGAACAACCAATTAAAAAAAAGAATCTGAAAAGCAAAGAAAACAGTAAAAATGTAAATAAATATTGAGAATTCTTTTCTTCCTTTTTTTTTTTTTGTACTTAAGATTGAACATAGTGGGCGTTCCACCACTAAGCTACATAACTGGATCTTTTAAGTTTTTTAAATTTTGAGACAAGGTCTCATTAAATTGCTAAGGTTGACCTCAGATTTGCAATCCCTGTGCCTCAAATTCCCAAGTTGCTGGAATACAGGTGTGTGCCACTAGGCTGGTGAGAACTTTTTTTTTTTTAATTTTTAATCTCTTTGAAAATAATCGACTGTTTAAAGTCAACATAACATTGTATTGTGTGGTTTATAATATGCAATATAAGCAAATAAAATGTATAACAATAATAGCACCACAGCTGGGAGGGGAGAGTGAAATAATAATGTTGTGAATTCTTACACTACTAATGAAATTAATATCATGGTAATTAAAGGAAGGCTGAGAAAATATGTATATTATAAATCCAAGTTACTAAAAACCAAAACATAGAATTATAGTCAATGGAATAAATAAATAAAATTGAATACTAAAAAAATACTTATTACTTATTCTGAGCCAGGAATGGAGGTACACGCCTGTAATCCCAGTGACTTGGGAGGCTGAGGTAGGAGGATTGCAAGTTCAAAGCCAGCCCCAGAAAAAGCAAGGTGCTAAGCAACTCAGTAAGTAAATAAGTCTGCCTCTAAACAAAAAAGGGCTGGGGATGTAGCTCAGTGGTTGAGTGACCCTAAATTTAATCCCCGGTATTTCCCCCAAAAAAATTATGGAAAAAATTTCCAATAAACCTAATGTTTGTTTGGCTAAATTAGTTCTTCAAGGTTGGAAGACATAAGATCAATATATAAGAGACAATTGTACTTCAATATATTAGCATTAAAAATTAAAAAGCAATAGGATTAAACAATATCATCAGATATATGAAATACTTAAAAAATAGTTGACAAAATGTGCAAGACAAACATACCAAAACTATGAAGATGAGATCAATAAAAGAAATCTAAATAAATGGTGATATATCTTTGTTCATGAATTGGAGGATTCAATGTTGTTAAAATGTCAACTTAGATTCAGCAGAATCTCAACTGAAATCCTAGTGGCTTTGTTTTATTTGTGTGTGTGCGCGCAAATTGATGAGATAATTTAATTTTATATAGAAATACAAAGACAGACTAGTCAAACAACTTTGGAAAAAAACAACAACTTAAGATTAGATAATTTATGTTTCCTGATTCATATATATGAAAAAAAATAAAGCTTATAAAAGCTGCAGTAGTCAAGACAGTATCATATTGAGATAGAGAAAATAAAATTCTAGAGATTCTAGAAATATATTCATAGGCATTTAGTCATTTGACTTTGACAATGGTGCCAAGGCAAACTCAATGGGAAAAGGGCAATCTTTCCAATAGATACAGCTGAAATAACTGGAAAGACATACACAAGTAATAATACTAACAATGATAATAACTAAGATCCTTACTTCACACAGTCTAGAAAGCATTAATTTGAAATGGGCCACAGATTGAAATATAAAAGCTAATACTACAACATTTCCAGAAAAAGAAATAGAAAAAAAAAGATGTCAAATGACACAAAAATATTATGAGGGAAATGCAAACCACAACCACAAAGAAATACCTCTGTGAACCCACTGCAATGGCTAAAATTAAAAAGACTGATCATACAAGTACTAATGATGGCATGGAACAACTGGAAGTCTCATCTAGTGCTGGTGGGAGTGTAAATGGTACAATCATTTTTTTAAAAATATATATTTTAGTTGTAGTTGGAAATAATACCTTTATTTATTTATTTGTTTGTTTGTTTGTTTGTTTATATGTGGTCTGAGGATCGAACCCAGTGCCTTGCATGTGCTAGGTGAGCGCTCTACTGCTGAGCCACAACCCCAGTCCAGTACAATCATTTTAGAGATCATTTAGCAATGCCTTTAAAAATTAAACATGCACATGTCATATAACCCATCCATTCAACTCCTAGGTTTTTATCCTAGAGCACTGATAATGTATATGTCCACACAAATACTTAAGAATGCTTTTAATAGTGAATGGATAATTAATTGGAATGAATTGATACAAGCTTCAACATGGATAAATCTCAAAATAATTACACCAACTGAAGAAAATCAGACAAAAATGAGTATGATTTTATTTATCTAACATTGTGAATACGAACTATAGTGACAAGAAGCAGATCAGTTGACGGCCTGGAGATGGGGCAGGGGTGAAAAAGGAAAATCACATAGGAGCATGAGAAAATTTGGGGATGGGATGGATATATTTATTATTTTGATTATGGCCATGGCTTCTGGTGGGTACATATGTAAAATGTATCAAATTGTACATTTATTGTTTAAGAATTGCATCTCAATAAAATTTAAAAAACAAAATGTGATTCTCTGGGGCTTTGAAAGTATGACTCAGTGATAGAGTATTTGCTTAGTGTGCAGAAGGCCCCAGATTCAAGCCCCAGTGCTGCCTCCAAAATGTGATTTTCTGATCTGTCACTTCACGATCTCCAGATGTTTTAGAATACCTTTCCAAAGAATCTTAAATCATATATACTGTGCCCTCTATAGCAAAAGGCAAATTGCAGAGCAAAACATTGGCAACAGTAGCCGGGGAAGCCAGTTTTTACCTGTAGGTTCCTCTTCAGTGACAATGATCTGTCCAGTCCAGGGTGCTGAAGGGCGACCTGAACAGAGACAAAAATAAAAATAACAAACATTCACAAATTCCATTTTAAATGTATTGATAAATTGATAAACTGGCTGGATTAGTCACAAATGAGTTTGCCGTTAGTTTACTTTTGTATTTTCCCAACAAATCTTACCAAGCATGTGTATGGTATTATGGGGGGCATGGCCCCTATCTTCAAGAGATTCACCATCTGCTAGAGTCTAGGATCTTCCTGAACGGACTGAGTCCACTTTTCTGGAAATGTACTTATACAAGTTAGGTATATAACATGTATGCATGTAACTGTTCAATATGGATCTCCTGAAATATGTAGGCTTTCTTGTCTCTTCTTAAGAGATAGCTTGTATTTTGGGGAAAACGCTTCTAGAACAATTAGAACAATTATAAGCCCCCAGGTTATGAAGATAAAAAAGGACAAGGAGTGTCCATCCAGCAATAAAACTAAGCAAAAACAATTTTTCCAATTACATTTTGAGGAGTATTTTCCACCAAGGAAATTAGTTTAGATTCAGAGTAAAGAAAATAGAAGAGACAGGAATAAAGTTAGAGAAAAAATTCATTCTGCGATCCTCATAAACATCAGAAAGAGAACGATTCAACTTCTGCTTCAATCAGGGGACTTTTGGCCACAGTTTGTACAAAGACAAGAAGCTATTAAAGAAGATAACTTATCATCAACTCAACCAAATCTTATTTTGGTTGGAATTTTAAAATAGGGGTAAATGAAAGGGTGAGATGAAATTTGTAAATTTTGGAAAGAGGGAGGGAATTTTCAAATCCAGGGAAGTCTGAGGGTGGGTGAAAAGTGATTAGAGAATAATCAAGAAGTCTGATTAGACACAGGTACAGGGAAAAGGTGACATTATTTTGCCATGCCATTACATGTAATTAAGGTAAAGAATAACACTGTAAATATGGAATAGAACTGTAATCCTCCATTTGGGATTTTGTCCCCCTTTAGATATTTGGCAGTATCTAGAGACAGTTTTGATCATCACAATTGGGGATCTATGTTCCTGGCATTGAGTGGTAGAGGCAAGGAAAGTTGCTAAGCATCCTGCAATGAATATATAGGATACCTCCAACACAGAGTTATTGGCCTAAAATGTCAATAGGGCCAGGGGTGAGAAGCATAGTATAGACTGAAATTTTACTACAAAACAATTCTTGTAATGTCATTTTATGGTTCCCTTTATTGTGGATGAGCTAATAATAATAAAATGAATAAAAATGCTCTCCAGGCTATTTTTGTATTTCATTCCACACATAATGCCTGGAACTCAGATTAGCAAAGTTAATTTTCTGAATAAGATTTAAAAAAATAAAGCCCATATGAGAACGGGTGACTCAAAAACCAAATATATCTTATGTTGTCAAGCTTCTCCCTTGTCCCATGATTTTCTGATGAAAATAAGGATTTCTTATTCTCATCTCCCTCTAGTGGAAGGGAAAGGGGTAACCTTGCAATGAAACCTTCTGCAGTTATTTTTTTTTTTAAGTTTAAGGATGATCCTGAAAAAAGTGAAAAGTGCTTACTTTTAAGTCTAGCTTTCTCAGCGGGATCCAGTGCAGCCACAGGCTCAGAAACTCGAGATGGAAGGCCTATTCCAGTTTTATTCACAGCTCTAACTCGGAATATATAGGAACGACCTTCTATCAATCCAGTGACTGGAAAACGAGCAAACTTCACAGGTGTGTCGTTGCATTGAGACCAGCAATCTGTGCCCACCTCACATCTACGGGAAGGAACATGATTGACAAGAATATTACAAGAAGTATGGCTAAATCAATAGCGCCAAAGCTACAAACCCACCTACTTGCTTCAGATCATCTCTGTTAAATATCAGCATGGTTTGCTACTGATTTAAACTGTAGGCACTCAGTAACATTCAAATGTAATGCGTCTTCTTCAATAAGAAAAAAGGAGCCTCTGACCTTTTCTGAACTCCAAAGTAGGGAGCTAAGAAGTCTCGAATGCTAAGTGTAGGAGTCTGGGGGAACAAGAAATAGGTAGGTTTCTATCATCTTTACTTGGGAGGGTGAGTCTTATGGGGACACATCTCCTGGGCTGATGACTTTAATCTACCATTTGTGATTTTTTTCTTTGTCTTCTTTTTAAGTAGGTTTTTATTTTTATTTTTTGGAAATGAAGCATTATTGGGAAGGTGGCGCCTTTAAAAAAGATAATTATTTGCACTGTAGTTTGGAAAACAGCTCAACATATTTTCTTGATGGTGACCACATCCTGTGTGGGTGGAATGGTGAAGAGGTTAGTGTCCTATGTTTGTTTGCTTAACAGATGAGATTGATTAGAGGCAGGGAGATTTCCAGGGGGAAATTAAGTACTTGGAAACTGATTTCTAATTGAGTGCTTTTACAGCAGCTGGTACCTAGGGATAAAGGGCGGGCAGGGGGGGAGAGCTCCTCCAGAGACAAATATGATATTTGGCTATTAGCCTGATTGACAGAGCTTTAGAGACTCAAACTGTGATTGAGTTGTGCCATACTAGGATTAATTCATCGTTTTTTACAAGCAGAAAATGGCACTTTTAGTTTATATCACTTCCCCATATGACTCTATGTCCAAAATATATGGTTCCCAAATGAAGCTCATGGGGGTGACAGTGTCAGTGCCCGTGCAGAGGAGGCTGGGGAAGTCTTCCCTTCTTCATCATCACCTTCCATTCTTTGAAGTAGACAGTAGGCATTTTCTTCAGTGTTAATATAAAGGACTATCTCAATCTTTCCTCTGTAGAAATTCTGGAGCTTCTCTAGGTGGGGCATGGTAGGGAGCTGAGAGGACAGTTCTCCAAACCACCCTGGTCTCCAGAAGTTCTGCTAGGACTCATTCTCCCTCTTCCTTTGCAGACACTGTCATGGTGACACAGTGATACTAGAGGGTGCTTTCTAATCCTCATGTGGGCAGAAAGAAAAGTAGAGGGCCACCGATCTAGAAACTTCTACAGCATGTTGGAGTAGAAAGAACACAAACCTATAGCCAGGTTGATATGTGAATCCCAGTTCTGATACTCACTACTTACTGTTAGAGATGTGAGGGTTTTGTTGTTGTTGTTGTTTGTTTGTTTTTTTATTATAAGGGATTAAACCCAGGGGTGCTTAACTATTGAAAGACATCTGCAGTCTTTTTTTTTTTTTTTGAGACAGGGTCTCACTAAGTTGCTTAGGCCCTTGCTAAATTGCTGAGGCTGGCTTTGAACTGGAAATCCTCCTGCCTCAGCCTACCGCGTTGCTGAGATTACAGTCCTGCACCGTGCTGTACCTGACTAATGTAAAGTCTACTATACCTTGGTACAAAGCCCTTGTAATATAGTAACACAGATTAACTGCCCCTTGTGGCTTCCCCAATCAAAAATGAAAAAAGAACTATTTGAATAGAAACTAAGAGAAAAATGTACTTAGGCCAATAATCTAAATTTATTGTCTATATTGTTCAAACTCACTGGATAATTAATGTGTAAAACCTAGTTACCATAAAAACTAGGTAACTAGCTACAGTTGTGGTAGAGCGTTTGCCTAGCACAGGTAAGGCACTGGGTTCAATCATCAGCACCACATAAAAACAAATAAATAAAATAAAGGTATTGTGTCCATCTACAACTAAATTTAAAAAAAAAATTGGAGAATGTAAATAGCAAGAATTTATAGATAAAAGCATCATTTAATACTGCAGAGTTTTGTTGTTATTTCTTGTATAACTTGAAACTGCACCCTGTAATTTAGATAAAAATTTGCATTCCTAAAGTCAATATTCTTAAATTACTGACATACTAGAAATATAGACATCAAATATATAAAATATCAGATATTTCATTATTAAAGTGGCCTCTCTAAAGTCTTCCAATTTACAGTATTCTTGCCAAGTTGGTGACATGCGTGGTCAAATTTAAGAATTTCTCTTTTGAATTGAGGTAAATTGGTAGATAAGAATATATAGATATAGATACGTGTGTGTGTGTTCACGTGGGCATGTGTGTGTGTGTGTGTGCACGTGTAGATATAAACAAAGAGAGAAAGATAATGAGGATGAAGGATGAAGGATGGAGGAAGGGGATCAGAATAGAAAGTCTTTCACCTAGGAATGAAGGGAGAAATCAAGTGTGCATCTCTATGTAGTGTCAAAGAACGCTAACTGAAGTTCAACTAGGCACTAACTTATCAATAAAATATCCCAGGATAGGGCTCCCTCCATCTACAGCTGGCTGCTTCCAAGAGATGATGATGTAGTCTTTGTTGGCATCCAAGCACACCACATCCAAGGGTGAGGCAGGGGCTCCTTCAATCTCTGCATCAGCATCTGTGGAGACAGAGAAGAATCCCATCAGACGCCTTCCACGGGCTCTGCCAGCTTGGCAGACTGAGGTCTTGATGCACACATTTCTTACCAAACCACCACAGTGGCTACCTCTTTGGCTGTAATAGAGAAAGTTTCAAAATTTGCAATTTGTTTACCACCATAGCAATGTGTGCTTTTCACATCAGGGAGAAGAACATTATGTTAGAAAACAGAAAGGGCTCTGAAAAGGACCCATGACCTTTGCCTCATGACTCTTGCTGCCCAAAATGTTCCAAAAGAAAATTAATGGTAGATGTCAGAAATTGCTCTTGGACAAGTCACTTGTGCCAGAATTTCTGTTCTTAAAACGTTGATTGTGCAATGTTACTAAGAATCTATGAAAGAGTCCTAAGGGGACAAACAGCTCCTTCTGCCACCTTCTGGGTACATTCACAAAGAGAATAATAACCCACGCCCCATTCTTATGCTGGGCATTACCACTCTGACCAGAGAAAAGAAAACATCCTTTTTAACTGAATGATTGCTCCCAAACTGAAGATACTTGGGAAAAGAACTCTGACATATATCCACATCTAAGCCTAGTTTATCTGAGTTTAGTAAAAGTCCAGGATAATATAAGAAATGAAGGCCGTGAGTGTTTATGAAATGGGATCCTCTGATAATACAGTCCACTCAGGCACAGCTAAATTAGTGAATCAGAGCTGCTTTGAGGAGAAGAGGAGTCAAAATATTCAGTAAGCAACTTTTTAAGTGAGAATGATTAAGACAAGAAGAAAAGTCCCTGGAGGAAGGGTCCACATGTGCCAACTCTTCTTGGCATTTGACCAACACTCTCATAAATGGAGTCAGTAGGAAGAAAGGCTGAGACATGTGGGAGCCACTCACCCAAGAGAAAACACTCTTGTTGACCGAGCAAACACTGTCTTTCCCTCTGATCTATACTCTGTAGCTCTTAATGAGTTACTAAGATATTTGATAACATGGCAGAAATATTTGCAGACTTCTGAATTTAATAGGTTTGCATTATCTGTGAAGAGCTCACATTGTTTGGATTATGCACATTCTGTTTCATGCCCCATAAACCAGCAGGGAAGTGTCTCTGGGAAAATATCTCCGGCAGATGTGCTATAGGAGAATCTAATTAGAAGTGAGGGCAGAATCCCTTGCATGCCACACGACAGGAAATGAGCGTTTGGGGGCAGAGAAATGTCTTTCCTTCCAGGCTTTGAAGCACTGGATGCGGGGAGCGGGGCTGTTGCTGGTGAAGGTAGAGCAGAGTTAGAGTGGAAGAGGCCCTAAGTGTCAGAAGAGATAATGTTAGAAAGCCACTCAGCCTCCAGGGGGACAGCAGGCAACCTGTAGCCATGTCCTTTTATTAAAGGCTTATAACATAACAACCAGCAACCCCTGCATGGGTGGAGCAGAATTCAGTTAGCTGAGTGGACATTACACTGTTGTACGACAGCAGGGATGTCTAGAGGACAGTAGGCATAGGGGAGCCACTTTCCAGCATTTGTATGACATTGTTTGCAATAAGCCATTCATGAGACGGGCTTAATGATCTTTCCAGTTACTCATTCATTTATTTATTCATTCATTCAGTTCTCTTCTGGGGCTAAATACAAAAGTTCTCAAGAAGCCACAATAGAATGGGATAAACAGAGTCGTCTTGAAATGACAAGAGCACAACAGGGAAGCAACATAACACAGTGTTTGGTTTCCAGTGGCTGCTATGTAGCACCGACCCACAGAACTCACTCAGTGAACATGAACCCTCTCCACCCATCTGCCCTGCTCTCTCCCAGCCCTCCAAACAGCCAAATGTTCTGTAGATTTGATTACCCTGGTCAAAGATTAGCTTGCTCTTCTTTATCTTTTGACCTCTGACACAGACTACTAATAACTTTTTTCAAAATGTATGTAATTCTATTGTTGATCTATTATAAAAGTAGTGCATGACTGTAAAATAAATAATAATAAATATTGTTTAGCGCTCCTTTAATTCCATACTTTAGAGATAACTACAACTAATATTTTGGCATAAGTCTAGGTTTTTTCCTATATATATAAGCTCAAAAATGATTATTTTTGAACTAAAATAAGATTGTATTATATTGTTTTATAGAGACATAAACTCTTTTTCTTGATAAGTCTCTATCAATAAATATAAGTATATATCATTATTTTTTGTATTTCATTGTTTACATAAAGCATGCATATACTTTATCATATACTTTATTATACATATAAATATGTATTTACATATATATCATATACCACACACACACACACTTTCATATACCACATATATTCATGTATACGTATACACACACTTTACAACTCCCATATTGATAGATATCTAGATTTTTTTTTTCCAGTTTTCCCAAACACAAACATTTTTTTGCTTTTTTTCCATTGGGTTCCTAGAACTAGAATAGTTGGAAATGTGTGCTTTTGATATACAGTGGCAAAATACCTTCAGAAAAGTTGGGCCAATTTATATTTACCAGCCATGTCTGAGAGTGCCTGCCTGTTCCTCTATTCCCTAACCCCAGGATTTTAAAAGCTTTTTGAATTTTCCTATATGGGAGATAAAAATATTCTTATTTCAATTTTCATTTCTTCAGTTACTTTTTTCATATACTTATTTTCCATTTGCAATTATTCCTTCATGACATTTCTATCCCATACTTTATGACTATCATTCTACTCATCTGTTTCTATGTGTGTGTGTGTGTTTGCACCTGTAGCAGTGTGTGTGTGTGTGTGTGTGTGTGTGTGAGAGAGAGAGAGAGAGAGAGAGAGAGGGAGAGAAAGATCATCGGCTATCTCTGGATAGTAGACAACATATGGATGGCTTTTCTTTAATTTCTTCTTTGCTTATACATATCATCTATATTTTCACAATGAACACATATCTATGTAATAAAACAACCTTGGCCAAATGTGTGAAGTTTTGCAAAGTGTTTCTGCAGATACCTGGTGCTTTATACACTAATTATGCTGGTGCAGAAACTATTTTCTAAGCAGCAAAAATACCAGAGTTATTAAAAAACTTGAGATGGCTTCATGAAGCTTAGTGGATACAAAGTTTTAAAAACAAAGCCTCAATTAAGACTCTTTGGCAGCTGGCAAAGTGATCTAGGCTGAGGCTTGAGTTCCAGGTCAGTGAGTTCCAGGTCAGCCTGGACAACTTGATGAGACGCTGTCTTAAAATAAAATTAAAAAGGGCTGGAGGTGTAACTCAGTTGTAGACCACCTGCTTAGCATGTGCAAGACCCTGGGTTCAATCAACCAGTAATACTAGAAAAAAAAGAAGAAAAAGCTACTTTGGAAATTTCTTTAAAAAGTTAAATATAAATTTATTATATGATCCAACAATTCTACTTGTGATTATGTGCCCAAGAGAAATGAAACCATAGGCCCACAAATACGAAGACAAATGTTCATAGCAACATCATTCATAATAACCAAAAAGTGAAAAAAATCCAGCTATCAACTGGTGAATGTATACACAAAACAAGGCACATCTATACATTGGAACACTGCAAAATTATTACAACAAAAATATTACAAGATGAATGAACCTCACTACATGTTGAATGAAAGAAAGCAGACAGAGAAGGCCACAAATATCCAAAAATGTCCAGAATGGCAAATCTGTAGAGACAGACAGTAAATTAGTGGCTGCCAGAGGCTAGACTGAGTATGGGAGAGAGAAATAGGCATCAGATTAGGAGTGATAGAAATATTCTAAAAGCGGGGTTGGGGTTGTGGCTTATCAGTAGAGCACTCGCCTAGCTTGGGCGACGCCCTGGGTTCAATCCTCAGCACCACATAAAAATAAATTAATTGATTAAAGATATTGTATCCAACAACTTAAAAAAAAGAAAAAGAAATATTCTAAAAGTGAATTGTGGGTGACGGTTGCACAATTTTATAAACACATTAAAGGTCATCAAAATGTGTATTTATATGAGTGAGTCTTATGGTATATAAATTGGACCTCAATAAAAATGTTTAAAAGACCCTAACATACATATCATTTGAAATAAACTTATAAGTTACAACCTTTTCTAAGAGTTGTTAAATTCTCAGTGCAATAGCTGAAATGGATCTTTCCATTTATCTACTCGATCCTCTCACATCAACATCTGATAAATTTTAGAATTTTTCCATTTCCTTCATTTGTGAATTTAAAAATTGGCTGAAGTATGAATTTCAAATTTTGACACCTCTTTCCTGCTTCCCAGTCTAGTTAGGCATGCAATCTGAGAAAGACACTGTGAAATGCTGAGGAACCCTGGACCATGTCAGGATTCCCAGAAAAAGTCCACGCAGGAAGCACAAAGGTATGTGGTTTTTAGAGTACCTGAAGATGCTTGCTAGTTCAGCCAAGACAACTGAGACCAGAGGCAAAGGCTGCTTCTTCAGCCCTTATCTAACCAGATTTATCCAGGTGGGTTGGCTCAACAAATGGACTTGCTGATGAGTTCCAGTGAGTCGATTTCACTGCAATTTTGCAGAAGGCTAGCTCCTCTCTTTCCCTGGCAATGCTGGACTTTGCCCATGATGCTTTTGTGGAAGACAAAGACTGCCACATTTTTCAGATGTTGTAGATATTTCTATATCTTTTTCAGTGGCTGGTCTGCAGCAGATTTCAATGATTATTTATTACTGTTTAACACGATGGGTAGAGTAGACTGTTAAGTGTCCCCAATAATCACTCTTCCTGTTTCTCTTGGTATTGGAACCTCTGAGCTGGGAACACCCTGGTCCCCTAGAGGGACTAGACACCCAGGGTGGGGGGCTGCTCGGTACTCCGTGTTCACAAGCAGATGTGATGTGTGCCACTCTGCCTCTCCCCCTCCACTTCCTTTCCCTTCCTCTCTGTAAGCTGGAATGGGAACCTGGACAGCATTGTGGGACAAAATAGAATAATGGGACCCAAGATACTGAAAGACCACAGTGAGCAGAGGCATCTGGATGACCACCTACCTCTAAACATATAGACATGAGAGAAATAAACTTTTTGTTGTTTCATTTCAGCAACTTAACCTGTACCCTAATTAAAATCCTGGGTAATGTGTTAGAAGACCTGTATCCTAGATCTACTTCTGCTCCTGAGTAAATTTCTGTGCTTATTTGAACCTCAGCTTCTGCATCTTAAAATTAGGGGTTGGATAGAATGGGAATCCCAACTATCGTTGTGCCACAAACCGCTTGGATGAGCAGATAAAACCTAAAAGTTCCTTCAGAGAAGAATACCTTTGAATGCATAGAATGAAATACATGAGATTACAAAAGAAATCAATTATATTTAAATACAGTTCTAATCACAGACATTATGGTCTCTGTGGGCCCCAATTCAGGGCACCTGAATAGACATTTGATCAAAATGTCTCTGAGTTTATGATTCTATCTAGTGCATACGAGATAAAAATTAGTAAGTCTGTGTTGTTTGTAGTTTAATTTTTCTGTGTATTATGATGCTTTGACATCTTCATAAACTTCCAGGATAGCCAATGTTTAGGGACAGCAAAGAGTGCAGCCAGGAATATGCCTTTGATGTGCTAATCAACCAATCCAGAGCCATATATCCACCATCTGGTCCATACATCTAAGGAGGCAATATTTCTCTGCCCTCAGCATCCCTGGTCCAGGTACCAGACAACAAGAGACCATCCTTGGAGCTCAGAGCCTACCAAAATTAACCAAAGTAACCAATTTTCAACTCTTCACCTTGCTCTACCCTGTCTTTCCTGAAACGACAATAAAGGTCATAGGCTAGGCTCTCTCCTTGCTACGGCTTCTTCTGCCTCCTGACCAATCAAGATGCCTTCCTATGTGGCCCTGCTGTGCCTCCTGTTTCTAGAATCTGTGAGTACAATAAGCTCTGTCTTTCTTAGTTTCTCCTGTGTCTCCTCTTGTGGCTGTACCTAAATGACCATCACACTCAAGAACACAGAACACCCCCTGGCAGCCTCAAACTGTTAAGCGTCATCCGAAGTGCTAGGATTCCACATTCCACTTGTATATATCCAATCCATTCAAGACACCACTGAAAAAAAGAAAGCTTCACCAAATTGACAGTTATAGAATTAAGGTGGCACCTCATTTCCTAGATCATCAAAACCAAATTCGTAAAGAAGGGGCTGCAATGAAATATTAAATTTCCTCCTTGACATACATATTAAACAGTGAGTTCCAAAATAACATAACTTCTTTTGTGGCAGCTTCTACAAATTGAGATGGCTTTCTACTTCATGAGAATTTAGCATCTATACTCAATCATTTATAGAAAACTCACTGAAGGTGTGGGAAATCCATGATCTGGGAACCAATTACCGGTGTATTGGTGCCTTCAGGGATCACCTTTTATACTAGATCTGATTTTACCTAAAATGAATACTCCTATTCCAGATAATCTGGAAGAAATTTCAAATGGCTCTCTCATCATTACAAAAACATGTTTGGATAAATTGATTTGGGACTTGGTGTTTTAAATATGGTTGGGTGTACTCCTTTTGCTAGGTCTTACCTCGAACAAAGACATAAGCGCTATATTGTTCATAATATTCTCCCATTCGAACACGGATTGTATAAAGGCCTTCATCTTCTTTGTTGAGATGAGAAAATGTCAGCGTTGCCCGATCTCCACTCCAGTGTGTTTGCACCCATTTTGATGGAGAAATAGGTGCTCCTAGAAATTAAAAAAACATAAGCAAATTAATTGATTTCCCCCCTCTATTCCTATTTTTCTTCCCTCCCTCTTTTTTCTCCTTTCTATATTGAAAGTTATTTGACACTTAGAGGAAGTCTCTAGATCTTTAAGACCGTCTGCCATCTTTACATTAGCAAAAATACCAGACAGAGGTGAGGACCCTGGGTCAGACACATAATTTGCATTGCTCAGTAGAAAAATTAAACTGCCAACCCCCATGTTCCAAAGATAGAGGAAAAATTCAGTAAAAGGTATTAAATTATAAGATTTTTGCTTTGGAGTTTTTTATTATGTGTAAAACATAATAGGGGGTCATACAAACTGCAAAAAATAATATTTTGGTGTCATAATTTTATATACAATAAACAATAGTACTAATGGGTCATCTTGATAAGATATTTATGGCTTTTCTGCAAATTTATTTACAAAATGTATGCTTTGAGCAACTTCATTTTTAATCAACATAATCAAAGCAATGTCAATCACTCTGCAAATGCAAGCTCACTAATGAATTTGATTAAGTTTTTATTTAGAGAAGGATTTTTTTGCTGGTTTAACTGTTACTGGAACAGTTAATGAGTATAATGTAGGCTATGACAACTTTGGGTTAACTTTTGGAAAGTCTTTTTTAAAATACAAATCTTAGTACTCTAGAACTGATGATTCTGGAGAAACAATTTTTCTAAAAAGATTTAACTCCACACAAATCAGTTTCACATAATTCTGAATTTAATTTTAAATGTAAATTCACACAATTGCATTTTGATATTTTCTCTGGCATGTCCTCTAACATGAGACAGGCATATAAGAAATCAAAAAATGATCTGTGATTTTTATATAATTTGAAATACTTGTTTATGCTTTCTATTATTGTATCTAATTACAAGGAAAAGTTAACTTTAGAACTGTCCTCCTTGTATAATTGGTTCACCCAAAATTCATATGAAAATCATGTTCTTTCCATCAAATCCTAGAATCTTTAAATTCAATGTGATTTCTTTTCTTGTCTTTTGTGCTGGTGATTGAAAATAGGGGCGCTTTACCACTGAATCACATTCCTTGTCCTCTTTTTATTTTTTATTTTGAGACAGGGCCTCACTAAGTTGCTGAGGCTGGCCTTGAGCTTGTGATCCTCCTGCCTCGGCCCCCCAAGTTTCTGGGATTATAGTGTGCACTACCCCACTCACCTCAATGTGTATTTCTAAGCCTCAAAACCAGAGACTCTAAAGTCTTTGAAGAAGTCTAACTGCCTTATGCATGTTATTGCAATGTCCATATGTGTGCTTTTATATATAATATTTAACTGACAAGGTTTATTGCTTGCTTGTTTCTGTCCCAGTGCTGGGGAGTTAATCTATGTGCAAATTCCATAGAGATGAGTTGTGGGGACAGAAAGGGAAGCTGGCTTTTTTGCAGAGTGATTGACATTGCTTTGATTATGTTGATTAAAAATGAAGTTGCTCAAAGCATACATTTTGTAAATAAATTTGCAGAATGTCCATACTATATCCTCGGTAGAATCCCTCCTTTCCTCTGGGGCCACAGCCATAGTCACCATTGCTTCTGGGGATGGTGCCACTGCTGTTGCTAATTCCAACCTGAGCCAGGTCCTGGTCCCCAGAAGCATATTAAAACCCTCCATGTCCCAGACCACCCAGGTGCTCACATACATGCCTGAAAGTCAGGGTCATTCCTTGGTGAGTGTGCTACCCACAGTCCACCACACTGAGGGCCTGAGCCTCTGTGTGGCTGCACTGCCACTTAGTGTATGTCCTCTAATTATGTACATGCTCCATAGACCCATGGGACTTCATGTATAAAACACAAGTTCAAAGATAATATGATTAACAATAGGGCTGGGGTTGTGGCTCAGCGGTAGAGCGCTTGCCTAGCATGTGCGAGGGTTCGGTCCTCAGCACCACGTGAAAATAAATAAATAAAATTAAAAAGGTATTGTGTCCAACTACAACTAAAAAAATAATTTAAAATGATTAACAATATTAAGATGGTGATAGCAGAGCATTAAACCAAGCTCAAGTCCCCTTCCAGAGTGGTCCTGTGAGATAGCACAGTTTGCATGCCCAAAAAGTCAGCTCTAGAAGGGTCTATTTCAGTCCTATCACTTTCATTAATGAATCACTTAACCTTTCTGGGCCTTAGTTTTTTGTTTTTTCTTTTTTCATAAACAAAATGGAATTTGAACTATCATCAAATCCCTAATAGGAAATACCACAAAGCAGCCTCATTAACTATTTTTTTCTTTTACTTTTCTATGTATTTCTGAAGTTTATTTTATAAAACAGTTAAGCAGAAAAAAACTGTCTGATAACCTTACTAATGACACAGAATAGCTATGTGTGTCTTGAATTTTACATTTTAAAAAAATCTTTATTTTCTTTCTTTCTTTCTTTTTTTATGTGGTGCTGAGGATTGAACCCAGTGCCTCACATGTGCAAGGCAAGCGCTCTGCCACTGAGCTACAACCCCAGCCCCGAATTTTACAATTTTTAATAACTTTAAAGTCTAGTCTTCTCTAGAAATAAACTTGGTGAAGAATTTTAAGATAAATTAAAAGGGATGATGAGAGTTTCCAGGTCCATTTGTTATTCTTTCTGTGACATATCCTCTGCCAGTTGAGAGCTAACACAGGACTTGCCTTGTACCTAAGGGGGAGTTGGATTCTTTAGCAGCCATGCTGTTTTTCAATATCCAGACATAAAGGGACACAGAAAGGTCAGAGAGTGTACAAACTTTCCTAGGAGTTTTGGTTTTCAGTATTAGAGCTCATGTTTCAGCCATGTAAGAAGAGGCTCGGGATAATGAAAAGAGCTTGGGCCTCAGAGTGACCACCACCAAGTCTGGAGATCTCCTGCTGACAAAATTTGTCTGTGTGATTTACTGCAATGCTTTATTCTCTCCAGACAGTTTCAATGTCATCATCTATTGGGTGAGATAACCTGGTGTAAAAACTCAGTACTTTGGATCTAATATTTAGGATGCTAATTTAGATTGTATTATTATTTTTTTAAAATATTTTTTTAGTTGTTGTGGGACACATGCCTTTATTTAATTTATTTTTATGTGATGCTGATGATCGAACCCAGTGCCTCACACATGCTAGGCAAGCGCTCTACCCCTAAGCCACAACCCCAGACTCAAGATTGTATTATTTAGTAAGTTCAATGCTTTAACTAATCATCGTATTTTGATAATTTTTTTCCCTTCCCTCCCCTCCCCTCTCCTCCCCTCCCCTCCCCTTTCCTTCTCTTTATCTAGACTTTAACCAGACAGGATTTAAAAGGGGAAATAAAAACCTTATTTCTTACTCACACTAAAGTATCATGGCTCTAGAACTCTTTAAAATAAATTAAAGCTAAATAAAGTATCTTAAAGCCAGAGTTAGAGGAAAGGACAGTGGAACGGTTTTTTTTTCTGTTCTACCAGCATTGATTTTAATATACCATAAAATGGAAGATCATTTTATCTACTTTTATGTCCTTAAAGAGATGTCAATGTAGGTTGCATATTTTATGTGTAGAATGTACTTATAAAGAGCCTTTAATACATTAAAACAGAAGTGCTAAGGTCTGAATTTCCTCTTAATTGACTCTGATACTTAATAACATCATAAATTTATTGTTTCATAGGATATATATATATATATATATATATATATATATATATATATATATATCCAGATATTTCTATGTCATAAAATTAATTTTAAATTAAATATGCTTTTTTAAAAAAAAAAATTCTTTCATTTGGTAAAATACCCTTCCTCACAAACCTATCACTTATACCATAGAGATTTTTATTTTTTAATACCAGGGATTGAACTTAAGGTTGCTTATCTACTGAAACATACCCCCAGCCCTTTTTTATTTTTAATTTTTGAGACAGGATCTTGCTAAGTTGTTTAGGGCCTTGCTAAGTTACTGAGGCTGGCTTTGAACTCACGATCCTCCTGCCTTAGCTTCCTGAGTTGCTGGGATTAGAGGCGTGCACCACTGTACCCAGTGAGTTTTTTTTTTTTAATCACAAATATATTATAAAAGTGTTGCTGCTTTTATGTCTATGTAAAAACATTTTAAACATACAGCAGGTTGTTCTCTCCCTGATAAGCAGATCTGCAATATGGTCTGCAACCTTTTGTGGGTGAGAACTGAAGTGAGAATTTGTTATGAAGACTCACCATTTCTGTACCACTGGACCTCTGGCTGGAAATGTTTAATTTCAGGAGTGATGACTACCCGACAGCCCAGACTCATTGTCTCTCCCTCTCTCCCAAAAGACACATCGAATTTGTCATCAAAGTGGATCTCAAACTTGGATGCATAACCGTAAGGGGTTACAGCAACTGAACACAACAAAAACAAATATCAGTAATTTCTCTCTTCTTCTTCTTCTTTTTTTTTAAATCCAAGATACACAAGCATTTGCATAAAAACAGGCAAAAAAAAAGTTGAAATAAAGACTGGTCAAATGATTTATCTGGGCAAAAATTTAATTTCATATAAGAAGTAGGTAGAACATACACATACCAAATTGACATGGGAACTCTTGCTTCATTGATCATAGAAACTAAATACTTAGTTTCATTATTGTGATGAACAGAATTTAAAAGGTCAGGTTTAATGTCTTGAATGCAAACTAATATCACATTTAGCCTAGACTTAATATAGTGCAGGCTAGCTGCAACATATGCACTTTTTAATTTTAGATTTTGAGTTATACTATACTGCTGTACTCTTGGGACCAAATAACCACATAAGTTACTCATAAAAACAGTTTTTCAGTAATTTACTTCCTTTTCTTTTCTTTAGTGACCTGATTTTTTTTTTTTTTTGTACCAAGGATTGAAATCAGGAGCACTTAACCACTAAGCCACATCCCCAACTCATTTTTGTACTTTATTTAGAGAAAGGATCTCACTGAGTTGCTTAGTGACTTGCTAATTTGCTGAGGCTGGCTTTGAACTTGTGATTCTCCTGCCTCTGCCTCCCAAGTGGCTGGAATTATAGGCGTGTGCCACTGCAGCTGGTTCTTTAATGACCTAAAAATTTTAAGTATTTAAAAATGTAATTGGAAGAAAACTAAAGTTTAAAATATATAGCTTAAAAAAGATTATTCTCAATGTATAGATTGGATAAATGCCTGTATCATCAAGTCTCCTCAATTTTAGTTTCTCTTTCCTCAAAGGAAAGGGGGCAGGAAAGAAGTGATGACTTAGTGATTTCATAGGAAACATGGGTGAAATTAAAATTCAAACCCAACTCTCAAACTTAGTCCCTTTCTCTTCATGTTTCATTTCTTTTCCTAACTTCCCTTTGAAAATGCAACCTAGCATTGGGTTCAATTTTGCCAAGTATTGTTCCAAATATTTAATAGCGATCAACGCAGTTAAGCCCCATAATAATCTTCTCAGGTAAGGACTCTTATTATCTCTATTTTATAGTAGAGGAAAGGGAACCCTAGAGGGATTAAATAACTGCCCACATTTACCCACATAGCCAGATTCACTGTACTGGCAGGATGTTCCCAGAAGCTTTGCTCTCTACCAATATAATGCACTGCCTTGAACTGGTGTGTCCCCACAAAACCACTAACCATTGGTGAAATAACTTTTCTCCTAAGAGCGTCTCCCATCTGCCTCATTTCTAAGTGATGATGTTCCACTGAGAACCAAGAAGAGAGTAGATTTGACTAACTCTTGCTCAGCCTTGGAGGGCTGGGCTGGTTCCAGTGCTGCCTGAGGTTTTGAAACCAATAAGGAGGCTCTACAGTGATCTAAAAGCTCCGGCAAGCAGTCTCCTTCTTTCTAGACCGGAGATTAGACTGTCTGGGGTAGCCTTGGGGTTCAGCAGGAAGCCAGCTTTACCAACCAGAAGATAAAATATCTTTCCTTAGTCACTCCCTCAACCCTTTGTCCTGTGTACTTTCCATTATGGCAAAAAACGGTTTAGGGTAGGGTTGGGAAATCTGTGGGCCACATATGGACTTCCTCCTGTTTAGTACCCTTAGGAATTTTTTAAAAATTTTTTTTGATGGTTGAGAAAAATAAAAAGTAAAAGAATATTTTATGACTGAGAAGCCACAGGAAATTGAGAAGCCATAGGAAATTCAAACTCAATGTTCATGGCTAAGTGTTTACTGGAACTCAGCCACACTCCTTCATTTCCCTACTGTTTATGGCTGCTTTCATGTTCAGTGGCAGAGCTGAGTTGTTGCAACAGACACCATATGGCCCAGAAAGCCTAAAATATTTACAATCTAGTCCTTTACAGAAATGTTTGCCAAACCCTGGCTTAAAATACAGTTTAGAATTAAAAAGACAGGCTACAAGTTCTTTTTCTACCACTGTGTGTGGTCTTGTTCCATGATTTAAACTCCAATCTCTTTACTCATCTGGGTAGCATAGATAAAAATGCACCTACTTTGTAAGCTTTTGATGAGCTTTAAGTGCATCAGTACATATAAAAATATCTTAGAACAGTGTTTAGAACAACCAATTAATACATGTTAACCATTAGAACAAAACCAAGGGCAGGGAGCTGTGTCTATGATATTTAGCAGCATATTCCAAGCATTTAAACCAGTACCTAATCACATAGCAGGTACTCAATAAACATCAATTGAAAGTACGAGCCTTCTATCTTCTGTTAGGACCAATTTCTAAGTCAGAGGCCAGTCAGAAGAGGCTCGATAAAGTTGATCAGGAAGAGAAGTAGGGTAATCTGGGCTTTAAGAATCTGGCTTGACAGGAAAGAAAATGTAGAACCGTGAACTATGTATGAGATGGTGATGGAAATGAGCAGGATATATTCAGATGATGGTGGAATGATCAACAGGCCAGTCTTGGGATTGTTGAGAGGTAAGTCGTAGATTCACATTTCCAGCTATTCTATCTCAATTTAAATCAAGTGATGGAAAAAGGGCATGATTTGGGATGGGCTCCTTCCTCACTTCTACCCATCATCCCCAACCACACACGGAACTGATACTAATGATTATAACTTGGAATATTAAAATAAGGGCCATTCCATGAAGCCAGTGAAGTAGGCGTCTACAGATATATATAACTAACCATTTAGGTGAAAGACTGACCTCTGAGAAAAGACCTTCATCAACCATTTTCAAAACCACCATGCATTGTTTAATGTGTGGAAACACGTTCAGGCTTGACTACCTTTTTTCAGCCTGAGCATTGTAAGCATATAAGGATTTCAACAACCATAAGGAGTTTAATTTTAAAATATGAATAAGTTCTCATATAGATAAAATGATTGAAGTTCACAAATTTTCAAATTACCACTGACCAAAATATTTTGAATAGTTTATTGTTTAACCACATTTAGACTGGATTTAAAACTGTACTTTATAAATAGATGTATTGATTGATTGATTCATTATCAAATATCTATGCTGTGCCAGGCAATGGAGTTCAGAGATAAAGGGTTCAGCCTTGCCTTCAAGTGGCTCAAGGACCAGTAGGAGAGATAACTTAAGAGTTAACAGTATCCCATGTCACAGACTCTCAGAGGAGGAGCCATGGCCTCACTGAGGACACCTACTTCTGACTGGATGGGACAAAGGGATAGAGTGGAGGTCAAACATGGTTCCTCAAGGGGGTGATGCTGACCTGAATTTTTAAGGATGAGTGGAATGTTGTGATATAGAGTAGGGGGCGTGTGGGGGAGTGTGTGCACACACTTAGCGTGTTTAGTTACATCACTCTGCTCAGGTTTGCATAATGTCTTTCTCAGTTTTAACACAAGAAGACTTAAAATCATTTAAGTCTTGCCATTCTTAGCCTATCATATCTGGCTTTCCAAGTAATTTGACCCCAAAAGAAAACAGTAACCAGAGAATCTAAAACAAGCAAAAACAAAATACCCACAAAACTTAATACATCCATCCTTGCATATATTATATTACATATAGTATCACTTAATTCAGCATTATAGAATAGCTTATTATGCTGTATTTTACATAAAGATGACATTTAACAAATATATTATTCAACTTACAGCTGAGGGGCATGGTAGAAGCCCCAGCATGGAAGCGAGTCTCATCAAACTCTCCTTTATATCCTAGAAAAGAGAAATACATGTGAACTGATTCATGATCAACTTACTGATTTTTTTTAAAACAATCAGAAGATATTTTGTTAAAAGAAAAAAAACAACACTTTGAATAAAACAAATGCAGCAAACCTACTCTTTACCACAACTGATGCATATGCTGAAAGCTCTCCTTTAACGTTCATCGCTGAGGCCCGGTACTGAGCCGTGTCTTCAAAATCACATCTGAAAGAACATATAGAAAAAAATGGCCATCACAGTGACAGACCTGGGTAATTAGTGGCTCTTCTATTGGGGCACTCTTTGCACACACAGCACACTGCCACTCAGTGGCCAACATGTGGCTCTTGGGGGCTCTCCATGAAGCTACTGTCTCTGGTCTGATTACCTGTGTGGGATTTCATACAGAGCAAGGGACCTACTGCAGTTCCATGCCAGCAGCTCAGTGGGAACAACACTATGGTAAACTTATCTAAAGCTGTTTTGGGAGGAGAAAATGTCCAGCCACGTGCCTTGTGGCAGGTAACTACCTGGAGACGCACCAGAGGGTCTGGCTGCCCTGCTGCCCAGTCTTTTGTGGTGGGTTTCAGTCTGGAGGCCCAGGGAAGAGAAAGAAGCAGCCCCTCCTTAGAGATTCCCACAGTCTCCCTGAGCTGTAAACCTTTCACATATGGTTCTATGTTCTAGTTTCAAGACACCAGTGAGTGTTTACGCTCCAATTTTACTACCATTCAGATGCACTTGGAATTTCAGCCTACCGCCTAACCCAAGAAATGCCCATTGGAATGTCTTATAAAAATGGAATTAGGGAGAGAGGGATCTCACAGAGAGAGAGGAACCGGCTAAGATTTCAAAGTAGGCTGTTTTGTATCTCATCCCTCCAGTTCCCCATGTTCTCCGTTGTTCCTCAAGGTTTGGTTTCATTTGTATAAACTTACTTCTTCTTATAGAAATTTTACAGACAGCAACAGAACCCAGGAAGGCAAATACAGTAGTCTGACTCATAGTTTTTTAATTTTGAAAGCAGCCACATTGTTCATGGCTGCATCAGTAGAACCACCCTCTGGCAGAAGTGGTGTGACTTAGATCAGGGCCAGCGTTTGGTGAACAACACAGGCCCCTGGGTTCTGTTTGAAGCCAGGTGTCACTTGGGCCAACACCTCTGATCTGGGGAGAAGAATACAAATCTCTTGAGAATGAAATGATGGAAATTTCGCTTGGACATCTCAGTACCCCAAGGTTTTATCTGAACTGAAAAGGGTTGGAACTTGTTTTATTTTAATCCATAAAATTTGGTGTGGGTTGCAAAACCATTTGGGGAGACTTGATAAACCTTTGAGGACTTGGAAATTTTGGTGTGGGATCAATGCTCAGATTTTGCTTTAGATTTTTGCTTTACCCTCAAACATCCCAATGTCTCATTGCTTTGCATACATAGATTGACAAGGCACATGGTTTTCCACAGCTCCTGGTGAGCTGAAGGAAAGACAGAACCTTATCTCCAAGTCCAACCTTTCAATGCCACCTACCCCAATCTCTATGGCCTTTTATTGATTAAAATCAAAAGAGTATGACGATGATGTTGATTTAGGACTCTGAAAGGATAACTGGATAGAAATGACTATTTATACAACATATTTTCTTGCTGATGTCTATGGAAATTTGTCCAGTAATGAAAATATGAATAAAAAGATATGAATTAATTTTTCTCCTCATCTTTGACTAAACTCAAATATAAAATCACACTGGGAGGCAGTGTGGGCATGGTAAGGATCAGTCATGAGGATCACTTGTGGGTGTGTAAGAAGCTTCCTATTGTCATCAGGCTGCCCTGGGAGGAGAAGCAGAGAGCGACTGTTAGTTAACTGGGTGGTGACAAACTTCCCCGAACGATTGTTGGATGACACACACAAACATTGGTGTTCTCTTACGTGTTGATCTCCAGAGTGTGCATTCCATATCGACTTTCAATAATATACTTTCCAGGGTTTGCATGGACATTTATTGGCACCTGATTTTTATACCTGTAAGATGGAAATGAAATGAATCTACTGACGTGCAAATAACTACATGATTAAACACACACATCCAATTCTTCTTCTTGCGGGGACACCTTCTATAAATAAGGCCCCGAGGATAGCAGCGGCATCTATTTAATAAATATAAATTATATGAGCTTAAAGAAAATGCACTTGCAAAACAGTGAAATTTCTTGCTGAAGTACTTTCCCTTCTTTCATAAAATTTACTTGAAAAACATGAACTATTCAAAACAATATGGATGAATCTTATGTACCTCTTGTTAATGGAAAAACCCGATTACAAAAGAGCACAGAGTGTAATAAGTGCAAAACCAAAAAGACCAGATAATGCAGCTGGAGGTCAGGATAGTTATTTCCTGGAGTGAAGGGTGGGGTGTAAAAAAAGCATCTTGGGTACTGATAATGTCTGGTTTCTTGATTTGGGTGCTGTTACACAGGTTTCTTGTTAGAGGTGTACACAGTCTAAAATTCACCAAAACTCTATATTTATATGTAACATACACTTAGTTGTGTATGTGTCAATAAAAAAAAAAGCTAAAAATTGACCATTGTTGACATAACAATGGAGGTTTCATGTTTGGCTCACTGTGTGAGATGAAAGTAAAATGTTCTTCTTGCTAACATTCTTGCATGTCATTATTCAAAACAACGTCATTATACTGAAAGATCATTATATTTAAGTGGTTTATTCTATGTCATAAACAAACATGGTTCTTACTTTGGAAAAACTTATAAAGTAGAAAAGGAAACTCCTCTCAAAAGCTAAAAGCTTCTCTTTTTCTGACTGTTCCATGGGTGGTTAAGCCTCTCAGTCCCCAGAGGGTGGCTTGGGTCACACACATCTGTAAGTAGCAACTGGATTCTTTCCATGTCCTCATGTTCTCAGGAGCCAGTGGTTATGCTTATCTCCTTAAACCAATTCTTCCCAAAAGAGGAGCTGGGTTTTCCTTTGAGACACCCCAATTCACGTGTACAAGTAATGCTAATAACCACAAATGATAGAGGATTCACTAAGTGCTCTATGCCTAGGCAGAATCCGTAAGTTCAGTCCTTGCAACTACCATATGAGGTAATGCTTTCTTTGGTTGACAGAAGAAGAAACCAAGGCATCGAGAAATTAAGGAACTTGCCCCACATTGCACAGCTAGGAAGAGCAGAGCTGGGATTTAAACCCAGACAATCTGGCTCCTGACCCTATGGATTTCTGCATTTTCCAATTACTCTCTATGGAACTGCATACTTTTGGAAATGATTATAAGGATATTTAGGAGCAGGGAAAGTGGTGGAAAGAGACAGAAAGAATATCAGCGTTAGCCAGTTCTTTCCTCTCCCTAACTCCTCTCTCTCTCTCTTTCTCTTTTGTGTGTATGTGCACACACACACACACACACACACTCACACACACACACACACACTCACACACACCCTGTGCCCTCACTGTGGTTTTTGGATGGGTTTGTCCCCCAGGGAATGTGTCAGAAGCTTGGTCCTCAATGTGGTGGTATTATGAGTGGAACCTCTTAAAAGTGATTGGGTGCAAAGTCATTTGGGTCATTACCCTTAGCATTGTTAAAGTATTTCTGACGATCCTGGTTAGTTCCACGAGAGTGAATTGTTATAAAAGAGCAAGCCCGGTCCCTCCTTAGCCTTTGCCACTCTGTGATTTTCACTTCTTGCATTAACTCTCACCATGATGCCATTTGCTATGTTATGACAGAGCTAAGAAGGACACTCACCAGAACTGGCAACTTGTTGTTTGGATTCAGCCTCCAAAACTATGAGCTAAATAAATCTCTTTCTTTTACAAAACATCCAGCCTTAGTTTTTGTTATAGCAATGGAAAACTAATAGAGTTTCTAAAGCAAAATCATTCATTTTTATTGTTGTTATTTTTTTATTTTGAGACTGGGTCTCACTAAGTTTCCCAGTCTGGCTTTGAACTTGCCATCTTCCTGCTTTAGGCCCCCAAAGAGCTGCAGTAACAGGTGTGGGGCCCCTTGCCTCAATACATTATTCATTTTCTTCACCTTGCTCACTCTCCTTTCTAAGGAAAATTTCAACTCATCCTTCAAGAGTCGGATCAAATGGCACTTCTTCAATAGACTCCTCCTTAAAAATCCCACACAATATGAATAATCAATCAGGATTACTTGGTTCAAATTGCTAACTATAAGATTTATCAAAATAATGATTGGATCTGTGTTTCCTCTATTAGGTTGCCAGTCCCCTGATGAGGACTGTCTCTGATCCATATTTATTTCTAGTCCCACTCTTGAAGCAGGATGAGTCATGGGGCAAATAGTAGGTACTCAGTGTTGGTTAATTAGATAGAAGACAATTACTGTGTGATGCAATAGATAAATTGTAGCTTCATCATTTTTTTCTGAAAGAATGGAATTCTGACAAGCATATCCTTCATGCTAGGGATAATTTTAAAGAAGTACATACAAAGAGAGGAAGCTGAGGCATTTGCTTCTCTCAGATGTGAGTTGAAGAGGGTTAGTCTAGCTACAGTCACAGCTGCACAGCAAGCAGGTGTAGTTGCATAACCCTCTCCCCCACCCACAGAAGGCATTGCTACCACAAACTGTTTCCTGCCAGCCCAGAAGCCACTTCGGGCAGCTGTCTCCCCACAGGGCTCTAAACAAGGAGGACTATTTGATCAGAGATGGATTGTCAAAAGAAATCTCCTGGCCACCCCTAATCTTCAACAGTCCCCATTTTGATAAATGACAGGGTAGAACAGGTTGATTAGCATGTTCTTGGATTGGACTGGTTTAGGTCATTTCATATTCCACCAGGAAGCTCCCTCTTGCTCCATATTTTCATGTGCTGAAGGCTTTTCAGTAGCTCTTCTCAGCACAAGGAGACCAATATGACACTAAATACTGTGGCAAGTGCTGCTTGACCAAGGGACAGAGTGACACTCAAGTTGGCTTTGGGTCAACAATGCTGTTCATATCTCTATAAAGTTTGAGTTAAAATGGTATTTTGCAATTCCCAGGGTACTGCCCAACTTAGCACCTTGATGACTTTCCCCCAGCTAAATATTTCCCCCACCTAAACACTCAACGACTCTTCTAATGTGACCACCTGGCAAAGAAAATTGGTTTTATGTATACACACAACGCTCTGACTGGGGAGCTTCCAGTCTTTCCTCTGGAACTCTGGATGTCAAAGGAGGAAACTGTGGGCTAAAGCAATAGAAAGGATGAAGTCAAAAAGCAACTTCATTCTATTCTCCAAGGAGTTTCATTGATGAGGCACTCAGGTTTGGGGTCCATTGAGATTGGCCATTTTCAGTCTTCAGTTAGAGAAGAAAGAAGGACCTGCAGCCTGCTCTGTATACACTTTGCCACTTGTTATTTCTGGAAAATGAAATTCCAAACTGGACAGTCATTGGCTAATTTTAGAGAGTGATCTATACCTTGGGATTATTTGTCAAAGGATTTCTTAAATCCTTGCAAATATGTAGATGTATGCCATTTCCATTATGATTTTCAAGTAGTTCATTAAACTATCAGTTAATGAGCTTTCAGGATACTGTAAGTATTTCTAGAATAACAAATCTGCCACCAGTGAATTTTGTCACCTTCTGTACAAATGTCAGCTCAGATGTCAGACTGACTTTGATAATGAGAAGTTACAGTGAAAGCTCTTCGGCTGAGCAAAACACAATCAAGCCTTCGTAATAGTTTTTATTTTTAATCAACAAACATTTCATACCAAAATGATCTTGAACATTTTAAATCTCACCACAAATGGAACTGGTGCTTAAAATCCAACCTTAAATATTGAATAAATAGCTAATACCTACTTTAAAATTATCTGAAAGATCTATCCCATTAGGATAGATTTGGAGTTAAATAAGAAAACCCTAAAATAAACTCCCATACCCTTAGGTTGGGAACTGATAATAATTTGCAAATAATGTTCGTTAACTATTTTAAGTTTAGGTTGTTTTCCTATGATAATATGATAGGAACTGCTAAATGTAAATATATATATAGTAAATAGCTCTAATCTTGCAAATAAATTCAATGCATATAATTTCATGAGAGAATATACAAATTCTCAAAATTTGCAAATATAGAAATTTTACAAATCTCTAGAATCTTCCTACATTTAAAATATTTTATTCCTAGGTTTTGAATTAAATGCTTAATGATCATTTTCATCAAGTGTCTATTTGACAGTGACTTTTGGACTAAGGAGTTACATACAAATATCTTGTTTAAGGGTCTAGTCAGGACCCAACATAGATTTGAAAACACAGGTGTGGAGTGAATAAATGAATATTACTCACTAATACCAATATATTGCTACAATGAGTTGCTCTATATCCCTGCAGGCTACAATCAAAATCTCCATTGATGCCAAGAGCAATGGTGCACACCTGTAAACCCAGCAGCTTATGAGGCTGAGGCAGGAGGATCTCAAGTTCAAAGCTAGCCTCAGCAACTTAGCAAGGCCCTAAGCAACTTAGTGAAAAGCTTTCTTAAAATAAAAAATAAAAAAAAGGCTGGGGATGTGGCTCAGTGATTAAGCACCCCTAGGTTCAATCAATCCCTAGTACCAAAAAAACACTCCATTGACAAATTTGTTTTAGTCCTCAAATCAGAAATCCAATTAAATCTGGCCCTTTAAAAAAAGGGCCAAATTGCCAGGCATGGTGATGCACATCTGTAATCCCTGCAACTCAGGAGGCTGAGGCAGGAGGATCAAAAGTTTGAGAACAGACTCGGCAATTTAATGAGGACTTAAGCAACTTAGAAAGACCCAGTCTCCAATCTGATTCAATTGTATATGTCAAGATCATTGTACTGTTATGTGTAACTAATTAAAACAAAAAAAATAAATAAATAAATAAAAGACCCTGTCTCAAAACATAAAATAAAAGGGCTGAGATTGTTGCTCAGTGGCTAGCCCGTGGGGCTTCAATACCTGATACAAAACAACAAAAAAAAAAAAAGGCAAAATTAAGATAATTTTCTCCTTTTATTTTTATTTTTTTTGGCAGGGGAGTTACCAGGGATTGAATTCAGGGGCATTCAACCACTGAGCCACATCCCCCTATTTTGTATTTTATTTAGAGACAGGATCTCACTGAGTTGCTTAGCACCATACTTTTGCTGAGGCTGGCTTTGAATTCGTGATCCTCCTACCTCAGCCTCCTGAGTTGCTGGGATTACAGGTGTGTGCCTGTAATTTTCTCTTTTTAAAAAGACCTTCTTTATTCTCTCCTATCTAATGTAATTTTAAAAATCTGACTAGGTAATATACTGATCTGCTCCAAGACCCAGAAGATATAAAAGATACAGAGCAAACAGCCTGTTTCCTGATACCATCCCTTTTGTCCCCTTCTACTTGACTCCTCCCTGAGAGTCCATTGCTCCTCTCAGGTTCTTACATATTTCATTATGCAAATTTCAGTATGCAAATAAAACAAATACAAACATAAATTCTTTTTTTCTCTCCTAACAGATTATAATGCAAGTTATTACCTAAAAATGGCCTATCAGGTGTTAAAACTTTGGTTTTACCACTACATAAATAATTTCCTTCTATGTTGACACAGCTCCCCTCTAGGTGGCTGGTTTCACCATGGTGTGGCTCAGCATCCTCTGCCACCAACTTTCCTACTGAATCCAACTCATAAACAGGCTGCCCTCTGCTCTGAGTTGGGAAGAGGATGGTGCTGGCGTCCTCCCTGCACCTGGCCTTGATGAGTGACATGTGCTCCTGCCATTTAGTGCCCTCTGGGTAACCTCTGGTTCCACTTAAATAGAAGTCGTAATCTGGGATTGGCTGAAGAGTAGCTGCTACATGTTCATGGTAGTTGTTAGACCTCAGGGATTCCCATGACCTAACTGTGCCCAGTGGAAACTTGGAGTCAAACCCTCTTTGGAAAGGGTTCTGAGAGAATCAGGCCCCTGCACACGAGCCTTTGAAAGACATGACTCAGGATTTAACTGTTAGGACTGGGTGTACCTTAAAGCATCATCCCAAACGTATTCTTTTCATTTACCTCCTGCTATTCAGAAAGGGCATCCCCAGTATTTCCTGCATACTATACTCAAGGTTTGGCCCAGGAAGCTGCAATTAGGTACTAAAAAGGCATAAATGGCAGCAAAGTAATCACCAGTAACCTTGTTTCTTGTTTGGATTGTGGCTTCCCTGCTCTTTGAGGAGAACCTTACTGAAGAGGGCATACTCTGCCAGCATTACAAAACAGCTTAGAGCTCCAGATAGGCTTTTGAAAAAGGCAACACATCCCACAAAGAATCTACTCCCACAGGTAGATTGACCTGGAAACGAATGAGGCTTAAATTTAAGGGTATCTCCCCAACATGGGGCCCTGCAAGGCCTTAGGCCTAATTTATACTACCAACCTTATAGTCTTTTTTGTAAAGAGCATCTCCCAAATTGTGTAAGTTTCCTGTCCCACAAACCTGGATCTGACCCTGTTCATTGCCATAGCCTACTGTCGATTATCTTTGAGTTCATTATCCAAATTTCATTCACCCAGGGACAAATCTTGTTTTCGAAGTAGTTTAGCTATTTTCTTAGTTGTCCTCTGTGCGGTTTTTTGGGTTTTTTGTTTTGTTTTGTTTTAATATTTATTTTTTTCATTCAGTTTGCAAGATGAGACTTCCTGTGAAATATTCTGTCCCTCCTGGGAGAACTTACAGTAAGAAACTGAGTCCCAGTGATGGCTGCTTTGCTTCAGGCTAGAAGGAGTTGCTACTCTGAAATTCCATGAAATTAAAACTAAAGCATCTGGGGCTGGGGTTGTGACTCGGTGGTAGAGCGCTTGCCTAGCATGCGTGAGGCCCTGGGTTCGATCCCCAGCACCACACAAACAAACTAAATAAACAAAATAAAGTTATTGTGTCCATCTACTATATATATATGGCATCAAGGGGGGTTTTGAGTCTAGAGGAAGCTCTTCCAGCTCTCCAATCCTCTGAGACAAAGCAAAATCAATAAAGACACATGTGAAGGATTTGGGGGACAATTTGTAGTACTTCTTAGCTCTTAGTATAACTGAAAATGGACAGTGCTGTTTTTAACTTTAACTAGGATTCTAAGGGTCATCAGTGTGGTCATCTCATATTTTTTTCTGGGGAGTTTGTTTTGTTTGTTTTTCAGTTATTTTGTTGCCAGGCCAGCAAAGCACAGTGGAGGGAGTTTAATCTCTAAAGTTGAGTTCTGCCTCTGAAATCACATCCTTCTGGCTTAATAAGACCATCAGTGATAGGTGGTTGAATTTCTTGTTCCATATGCCTTGCACAGGATAAATGACTGCTTAAGAAATTAATATTTATTTCCCGGAGATGACTTTGCACCCTTTTGAAAAATATCTTTTAATTCTTAAAAGGCAAGAAAAGAAAGATAGGAAAATATCTAATGTCTATATCTACTGAATTAAGGATGCTGTTTATTCATTTATTATTAATATATTTTAATTTACAAAATAAGAGGAATTTTTATTGACCGAATAATATTTCTGGGAGTTGAAAACTTATTAGTCATGGATTTCTTCATTTTTATTTTTTGCATTTTTAAAAATTTGTTCTAATTAGCTATACATGACAGTAGAATGCACTATATTACATTACATATAAAAACAGTATAATTACTCATTCTTCTGGTTGTACATGATGTAGATATTCATGAATTTTTATAATAAAGCTTGGATTTTCTTTTTTTGATGGGAAGTAATCAAGTTTTGTTTGTTTGTTGTGGTGCCAGGGACTAGGGGACTAGACAAGTCTCACACAGCCAGTGCTCTATCTCTGAGCCATACCCCCAGCCCAGTAAGCTGTTTTAGGAGGACATGTTCCTTTAAAGAGCCAAATGAAGCAATTCCACTGTCACAAAGAGGGGTGGGACAAAGGCAGTCTTATTTCTAACTTACTTTTATATTCTAAAACACGTAAATTAAAAAAAAAATAAAACATAAATTTAAAAATTACATTGTTTGCCTTAATAATTCATAGCCAGTATTGGTTTTTAATTTTTGGCTTTAAAAGTCAAAAATCCCTTGAAAGAGTTTGCACACACAGAAAAATTGTAAGTAAATCCAGAACTTTCAAAGACAAATTGATATTGCAGGTGAATCTTTTTTAAAAAAAATTATTCATTTTTAGTTTTAGGTGGACACATATCTTTATTTTGTTTTTATGTGGTGTTGAGAATCGAACCCAGTGCCCCACACATGCATGCTAGGTGAGCGCACTACCACTTGAGCCAAATCCCCAGCCCTTTTTTTTTTGGCTCAATGACTCTCACATTTCTACTCTTTGTGGCAGATATTTTTCCTTTTCCATACTCAAGACATAGGACAGGAAAATGATAAGCTGAAGGATCACAAAGGCATTGACAATTGCATTAGAATGTACAATGGAAGGAGAAAAGGTGTGCTTATTCTTTATGGAAAAATAATGTCTTAGGGCCCCATATGGGACACTATCTCCCATTCAATTCCTTCCTTTGTTTGATGTCAGAAAGCACTCTGAGGCCTCAGCTCCCATAAGAGGGAGTGATAGAGGCTTTCTGGATTTTAGGTTGTTTTTTGAAGGTAACATTGCTTCTGAATGTTACCTTCTTTTTGAAGGTAACATTGCTTCATACTATATTGTAAAGTGTGCCAAGGGAAGCAGATTTTTATGGTCCATAGAGGTTATAGACATATTTGGTATGCAAATATGTATAAAATAAAGACCCGTATCACAATAGAATTGTAAAGTATTATAATCTATTGTATGTATACAAGATTGTTTTCTTATTTCCATACATGATAATTCATCTCAATATCCTCTTTTCATTTTTTTTGAAAACTTTTGCAAACTTATAGATGCTCCCATTGACCCTTGTATATTGATAGTGCAGTATGCTTTCACTAGAGGTAAACTTAACTTTGTGTAATTGATTCTATTAGTTTTCATAAAGATGACATACCATGTGACACGAGGTTCTGGCCAGCCGGCTACAGAGCAGTGTAATTTTACATTCTCTTTCTCCCAAACCGTGTGGGAACGAGGCTTAATAATAAACTCAGGAGCATGGAGAAGATGGTCTTCATTCAACTTATCATGATATGCCTGGGTTTCTTCTAACTGAAAATAAACAAACAAACAAGCATGATTATCAAAATACTACAAAAAATAAAGTAACTTCTGTTACTAAAAGAGCAGTAGAAGCCAGTATTTTTATTTTTCCAGTTGGAACCTTATTTTTCCATTCCCTTTCTCCCTTAAAAAAAAATGCAGTTACTTAACATTTTAAACTTGAGCAATGTATTTTACTTCCAGAAGATGGATTTCTTAAGTCTTTAAAACCTTAATTTTTAAAAAAAATCTGAAATTCTGTGAAATGTTAAACTATTTAGTTTGCCTTTCTGTGGCCTACACATATTAATGTCTTTTTTCTTTTTTCCTTACTTTTTTCGATAAGATCACATATTTCTTCATTGAAAACAGATCAGTCTTTATCTACACACAAACACAACTTCTTACATTGTAATCAGCATCAAACTGTGTTTTCTTACTGTTTTTCTCAGTGACAGGCGCTCTGCCTTTTCTCGAATTGCAACTTTCCTTGACTTCTTTTCAAAAGTTTCCTCTTGTTGAAGGGTGGACGTGGCCTGTTTGGACACTGTGGACTGTTTAGATGCCGTGGACTGTTTGGATGCTGTGATTCCTTCCTCACTAGCGAGAAGATTCCTCTGGGCTATATAAGCAGCAGCTTCTTTAATTCTTTCTTCTTCCGTATCTGTAATTCCACTGACATGTACTTGGCTAAAACACAATAATAGTAAAATGTGGATATTGGGATGGCAGTAATAAGATTGCCTCCTTTTACTAAGTTCAAGGATCCAGAACTCAGAATGGTGACCAAGAAAAACCTGACATAGAACAACCTGGTAAACCAGGAGCTGACTCTTCCCATATAGTAGTGGTCTTCCCCTTAACAAATGATCATAGTAACAACAACAGCAATAATACTTATTAAAGTTCTAGTGCTCTTCACATAGATTATCTCATTTTATTTTATTCACATGAAAATCCATGAGGTAAATAATAGCACTTCTACTTTCGATATATGGTAACTGGGTTCTGAGAAGTTAGATAACTTGCCCAAGCCTGTTTTACTAGTTAGTGTATCCAAATACAATAATACATGAAGTTATGATTTCATTTCCAGAAGACTTTATTCCAGTTTATGTGCCCATGCTCCTGGTATATGACTACTTGATTTGGATTCCATAACTCAGCTGAGACAATGTCCTGCTCAAAGATGTTCAATGTTTAAATATGTTCTAGATTACATGAGAGCCAATGCCTGCTAAATTTCTTTCTCAGATAGTAAATGTCATGTATATACATGACATTATATGTGTGTGTGTGTGTTTAATACGACAATCATTTGTGCTTGTACATAGCCCTGATGAGAAGAAATGATCAAATTTGCAATGAAAGTTGTGGTATTTATAAAAAGGACTTGCTGGTGATGACAGATGAGTGGTAACATCCAAAAGTACTATGCTTAGTGTCCTTGTTTATGAGAGAATCGTGTGGTGATTTATTAATGTTGCCAAAACTATTCTGGTTATTTTTAGTCTCCTCCAATGCCTTTGTTGAAAACACCATTAGATATTTCAGTGAGAAAGTGTATTAATTATACTGAAGATTCCCTTGAAATTAAATCTACTTTGGTCCCTTAAGTCAGAATTGTACATTTGATTTTTCTTATAAGAATTACTTCAGAATTTACACTAATACTGCCACAGTGTTTACGGGTTCCTAGCGCCTGACTCTGCAGTTTACTGAGAAGTGGAACTCAATATTTGCCCAAGTTTTAAATTTCTCATGGAATATTAGTAAAACATCTGGAAGACAACATTAGTCCATTTGGTTTCTGACTAAAACTTAGTGATTAAATTTTAACTTTTTCTCTATCTTTCCAGGTATCAACAAGATAGTCTACACTATGGAATTTAGTAATATATACACTATAATTTAGTAGAGGGAAAAGAAAAATAAAAATTTTTAGCTTAGTGTCCTGACATTATTACCTCTAATATTTTCTTTTGAATGAGATAGTAAATAAAGAATTAGTAAGTGAATGCAAAACAAAGCATCAAGGAAATTTGTTTGGAATTCTCTATGGAAGTCGACATACAACAGAGAGATTTGAAATGGGCTCTATAATATGATTTGATACATATCATGATGGACCATATGCAATGCTAGTCTTGCCCCAAGTTGAGACAACTCTAACTGAAAGAACTTCAAGTATAAGTTCTCATTACCTTGAACTGTGGAAATATTGAACGCTCAGAGGGCAGAAAGAAGTCACGGCCTCTGTGTACCAATAAACTAAATCTCAAAAAACCTTAAACATGTAATTATTTAATATGAGAATTCAAATGTACTTTAAAAAAATATGTTGGGCCCTGGTCAATAGGGATATTCTACTTTAAGTAAATACAGGGGATATTGATGATATCCTTCTGTAATCTGGGCACAAGAGCAAGAAATGTGGTATTAATATGTTAACAAAACACACTGCTATAAAGCAAAAATAAATTAAAAACTTCTTAATACTCTGCATATCTCTAATGGCCTAAATTCAAAACCTATTGCTGAACTAAGCAATCAGCCTACGTACTCAGTAGAGGAAAGAGACCACGGGGTGGGAGTGGAGGGAGGGGAAAGTGCAGGGAGGTGATATTGTCCAAATTATATTGTTACATTGTGTGCATGTATGAATATGTAATAATGAATTCCACCATTATGTACAACGATAATGCATCAGTAAAACAATGTGTGTGTGTGTGTGTGAGAAACCTTATTGCTAACACAAAGCCAAATCAACTTACCAGAGTACAAGAAGGGGAATTCATGCAGAAGAAATGATGTTTTCCAGAAACAAACTATAACTACAGAAAACACGGACAGTGCATTGGCCAGTCTTGGGAGGACTTCAGTTCTTTCATTACCAACCATGTGACTTCTAGCAAGTCACTAACCATTGACGCTCTTGTCCAAAAAAATGATATGCTAATACATTCTAGGGTTGTATGGAGGATTTAGCAAGATAAAATAGATATTCAACAAATATTAATTGCTTTCCTATTTTCTTCTCAGATTGTAAATATCATTAACACCATTTTGAAAAGTTATTTTCAACATAGTAACAAAAGACAGGAGATCAATCCATATTAAAAAAATAAGAACTGGAGATAAACCCTTGAAGGTCAATTTTTTCACATTTTCTTTTATCACACTGTATTATGAAATATCATTTCTTGAGATTGGCCTGGAAGATGCAAATCCATTTAGTGGGGAAAGCACAGGGAGAAGACATTAGGAGCAAGAAACTTCATTTTGTGCCCTCTCAGGTAATGAGATATATCTTGTAGGCTAAGTTGATGTGGTTTTTAAATGATTTTTTTTTTTTTGTGCAGAGGATTAAACCCAGGACCTTGAGCATGTTAAGCACATGCTCTACCACTAAGCGCTACACTCCCAGCCTCATTAAATTTTTTCCAAACAGAGTGGGGGAAAAGAGCAAAAACAAAACAAAACAAACAAACAAACAAACAAACAAACAAAACCCCAAAACATTCTACTTCTAGGCTAGCCAACTCCTATAATGAATACAAGTGTACATTAAAATACTGTGCATGTGACGAGGATATAGGGAAAAAGTTACACTTATACATTTCTCGTGGGACTGCAAATTGGTGCAACCACTCTGGAAAGCAGTATGGAAAGTCTTTAGAAAATTTGGAATGGAACCACCATGTTACCCAGCTATCCCACTCCTAGGTTTATAACTCAAAGGACTTAAAATCAGTATATTACAGTGATGCAGCTACATCAATGTTTATAGCAGTTCAATTCCCAATAGCTAAGCTATGGAACCAACCTAGGTGCCCTTTAATAGATGAACGGGTGAAGAAATTGTGATACACACACACACACAAGAATATTGCTCAGCTTAAAGTAGAATAAAATGACAGCATTTGTTGGTAAATGGATGGAAATGAAGAATATCATGCTAATCCGATCCCAAAGAACCAAAGGCAGATTGTTTTCTCTGATATGCAGATGCTAAATCACAATAGTGGGAAGCAGTGACTAGGAAGAATAGAGGTTCTTTGGATTAGACAGGAGAGTGAAGAGAGGGGCAGAGGTATGGGGATTAGGAATGATAGTAGAATGAATCAGACACTATTACCTATGTGCATATATGATTACACGACTGATGTGATTCTACATCATTACAATCAGAAGAATGAGAAGTTACAGTCCGTTTAGGTATGATGTAGCAAAATGCATTCTACTATCATGTAGAAATAATTAGAACAAATAATAAATAAATAAATAAAATTACTGTGAATGGGCTTAGTCTGGGCAAGCATATTTAGCACTATAAAAATGTTTCTCTGAAAAGTTCAGTTCAAAAAAAAAATCAAGGATGTCAGATAAAAAAACTAAAACTTGAATGCTAGTAAGTCCCTTTACCTTCCTAATTGAGTGCAGAATGATTATGACATGAACCTCTGAAACAAGTCAGAAAAGAACTATCAGGCAGGGATGGAAAGAAAACCCCAAGGTAACAGAGAGAGCAAAAATCACAACCGAAAGATTTCCTGACTTTAATGAGGATCTACTTTTCCCTGACGTTAGCTGTGAGAGGATTTTGACTTCAAGTGTCACCTTCACTATGAGGATAGTTCTACATTCAGAGAAAATAAACAGGGCAAGGTCCAGCAAGTTCCTGTTAAGCTTTCATTTTGATGTCTCAGACAAGTTTCCTTTGAATATTATTAACAGTAAAAAAAGTAAGTAAGAAGTTTTTATAATAAAGTCAGAAAATTGGCATTACATCGACTTGTGATTTAGTGATTATTCTGTTTGAAATTTACCTGGAAATAGATAACAATCTGGTTTCCATTCAAATTATGTTTCATTTTTCCCCTAATGAATAATAATTAAAACCACATGAACAGCCAAGACATTTTTCATTTACCTAAACATTAACTCTTTTTTTTCCAGTTGACCCAACACTTTATAGTTTTAACACTTTATAGTTAAAATAGGATATGAACATGTGCCTAGGAAAATCTTTTTACACTAGCTGTAGTGATTATATTTAGTGTTCAATCATTAGCATCCAAGGCTCTACATCCCATTAGTCACCTAAGTAGCATCAAGTTCTAATGGTTTTCTTTCTTTCTTTTTTGGTCACATAGGCATCCTCTGTGATGGCAAAACTTTCTGAAAAGAAATTCCATTTTTACAACTAACGAATCTCCCTTGGTTCAGAGTTCCGAAATTCCTGAGACCTTTCTCAACTGTTATATAGTGAGTGCTCAATAAATGTTAGTTGCTACTATTATTATCTGACACAGTTTACTCTTCAATTCTAATAATCAAAGCCAGGCAGAGAAAGCACACGCACCGTCCAGAGAATATAGGCACCATGTAGTCACTTGGCAGATTTTCCTTCTCCTCCCGAGACAGAAGGCTCTGCTTGGCTCTCTTGGTTTTGGGGCTCAACTTGGATGAATAATCATCTAACAGCAGACTGGAATCTGTAAGCCTGAAATAAAAACCCCTAACGTTAAACAATAACAAAAGTGCATTGAACATTTAGATAATAATAATTTTAAAAAGTGCATTGAAGACATTCAAACTACTGATGAAAGGAAGTTTTAACCTAGGAAGAGTTTTTTCAGAATCTTAGATCTCTCATGTTATTATTATCTTTTATCTTTAGAACTTAAGTGGAATTGAAGATTACCTCTAGATAGGGAATAGGAGTGGGAAGGAAAGGGAATAGCATGGATGGTGAAAGGAGATGGTCATCATTATACAAAATACATGTATGAAGATGTGAATCAGGTGTCAACATAGCTTATATACAAACAGAGCTTTGATAAATTGTGCTATAAAGGTGTGTTAAGAATTGTAATGCAAAAAATAAGAGAGCTCATGTATAATGGCAAAAAAAAAAGAACTTAAGTGGAATTAGATAGATCTCAGATACACAAACATATTCTATATAGACACTAAAAGAAAATGATATTTTCTTTTTTTTAATATTTATTTATTTATTTATATTTTTTTAGTTTTCGGCGGACACAACATCTTTGTTTGTATGTGGTGCTGAGGATCGAACCCAGGCCGCACACATGCCAGCCGAGCGCGCTACCGCTTGAGCCACATCTCCAGCCCCAGAAAATGATATTTTCATGGCTTCTCTGCTTTAAAGTTTCAAGGGAAAAGACCAAAGATTTTATATTTCCAAACATCCTTTAATGTTAAGATAGTGTTTGAAATTTATGCAATCTATATAAATGAGGTTTTTTTTGGGGGGGGTTGTTTTTTATTTTATTTTTGGTACCAGGGATTTAACCCAGGTGCGCTTAAATACCGAGCCACATCCCCAGCCCTTTTTTACATTTTCTTTAGAGACAGGGTCTCCCTAAGTTGCTTAGGACCTCCCTAAGTTGCTGAGGCTGGCTTTTTGAACTCATGATCCTCCTGACTCAGCCTCCTGATCCGCTGGGATTACAGGTGTGCACCACCATGTTGGGCTTATATAACCAGTTTTGATGCAATTTTGCATTCAAATCCTTTGGGAGGACTGTTAAAAATGCACGCTTTTCTGAATGGGGATCCTAGGCGATTCTGATGCAGGACTCTGAGTTCGCACTTTGAAGCTTCATGTTCCTCCTACAGGCTGAAGGAACTCCTATTGTTGAAGGAACTCTGGGTTCTTCAAATGATGGAGTTAATATAGGATGTAAACATGAAGATGTGACATCAAAGAACCCAGAGAATTACAGGGGTGTGATAAAGACCCCTTTGGTGGTTTCTGTGTGCCTATGTACACATGGGCACTGGGAGGCAGTCAGTGTTTTAACAAACCAAAACCTTTCCTAGGGAGGTGACATGAGAGCAGAGGTAGAGGAAAAGGATTGACAAGACAAAAAGTATTATCATAATCTGTGCAGTTCCTGGATGAAATGAAATGCATTTACATACAACCATAAGATTGGGCATAAATTTGAGGAGTTCATGGACACCCTAGAGTCAATCTCTGGACAGGGTTAAAAGTCCCAGGGCACACGGTAAGGAAGGATGTTAACAAGGGGAGATTGTGTAGGAACTCTGTTCTGTGCTTGTAATTTTTCTGTCAAGGTGAAACTATTCTAAAACATTGGTAATAATGATAATAATAATGATAATGATGATGATGATGATGATAATAATAATAATAATAATAATGGCCCCTGGTCTGGAGAATACTTGAAAAGAAGAAGAAGCATGTGAACAGTACTATATGGGAAAACCCAATAGTTTGAATGGTTGAAACAAACCATTCAAATCTTGACCATTTCCTGATCTTTGAAAATCATCTGGAAAAAGCAAAGGGGGAGGACCTAAATCAAAAGCAGAAGACAGTCCCAACATACACGTAGTACAAAATGGATAAATAACAATGTGAGAAAACAAGTAGGGCTACACAGAGCTCTAAGGCCAGCAAAGAACTGCAGAAGGCACAGGGGCTCCAGGCCTGGTGGGGACAGGGTGGGCTACTGTCTTTGAACCTCCGGAATGGTCCCATGGAAATGGCAAGATTCTTTTCCCCATTATCTGCCCCCTACCCCCAGAGAAGAATATCTAGCTTTCTTTCCATGATCAGCATTAAAACTAAAGGTTAGAACCTTGAAGTTAAGCTGGTGGATTGGTTACCAATTGGAAGCCAGAGTGAAATTTGTTCCTGGCTGGTTGTTCCAGGCAGCACCAGAACGACTGCATCCTATACCCCAGCAGGTCACAGAGAACAGGCTGTGCTTCTACAGATCCAAGTTCAAAGTGTAATTTGCTTTGCTCATTTATTCTATTACTATACAAAATAAAATTAATTATGAGCTTAAGTGTCTTGGTGCTTTTCCTATTTCTAGAATAGTTGGATTTTCTAACTTCTATTTTGCTAGTTTTTGCTCTATTCTCTGTATTTCTATTCTAGTATCTACAGTCTTATTCTATAACCTTATTTTTCAGTGTTTGTTTGCATCAAAATAGCTATTTTTGATCATTCTTCTTGGTATGTTGTATCTTTTTATGTCATTTTTCCTTTAAGGCAGATCTTTAAAATGATGAATTTACTACAAAGAACACACCCAGAATGTGATTCCATCTCATAGGTAAATCTTAGCAAATGATTTTTATTGGTGCACTATAATTAAACATAATAGTGGAATTCATTATGTTATATTCATACATACACATGCATAATTTGATCAATCACAACTGATTTTTTAATAATTGAATTTGTTGCTGAAGATTCGTGACACTATCATTAGTTTCCATTTCATAATTTATCTGGACAAAAGACTTCATAAAAAGTATTATGATGTTATGTATTTAACAGTATTATTTAGAAAACACAAAGATCTCCACCTTTGTTATACCCCCTAAAGTTTCTTCAGCTTTTGATTCCTAATAAAAAAGGTGAGTGAAGAATTAGATGTTAAAATATCACACAAATAGATAATTTAGTAATGCCAAGTTATTTATTAAAGCTAGCAAGCAAAATGAATTAGGGAAACACAAAGTTTTAAAATTAACTGTGTAATCATTTGAGGAAAGACTGTTGATAGTCTATTATGTCATGATCCATGAACGCCCAAGTCCTACATTTTACACTACTAAATTTTAAAGTTGAAAAATGTTTTCAGGGGAGTTAAATAAAATATGTAGCTTTTTTCGGCCGGAACCGCCATCTTTCAGTAATTCGCCAAAATGACGAACACAAAGGGAAAGAGGAGAGGAACCCGATATATGTTCTCCAGGCCTTTTAGAAAACATGGAGTTGTTCCTTTGGCCACATATATGCGAATCTACAAGAAGGGTGATATTGTAGACATCAAGGGAATGGGTACTAAAAGGAATGCCCCACAAATGTTATGGCAAAACTGGGAGAGTCTACAATGTTACCCAGCATGCTGTTGGCATTGTTGTGAATAAGCAAGTTAAGGGCAAGATTCTTGCCAAGAGAATTAATGTGCATATTGAGCATATTAAGCACTCTAAGAGCCAAGACAGCTTCCTGAAACGTGTGAAGGAAAATGATCAGAAAAAGAAGGAAGCCAAAGAGAAAGGTACCTGGGTTCAGCTGAAGCGCCAGCCTGCCCCACCCAGAGAAGCACATTTTGTGAGAACAAATGGAAAGGAGCCTGAACTGCTGGAACCTATTCCCTATGAATTCATGGCATAATAAATGTTAAATAAATAAATAAATAAAGGCTAGTGGACTACAAAAGTGATTTTTAAAAAATAAATAAATAAACAAATAAATAAATAAAATATGTAGATTTTGAGTTTCTTTGAACCTAAGTAAGGTTTTGTTAACCCCCTGGGCTTTTAGTTGTATGTAAATTTTGAAAGTAATCCTCTAATAACTCAGTTTTGGAGTAGACAGTAAACAATATGTTTTGATCTAGGTAGATCTTATTCACTTGATATTCTTTATATCTTGATATTCTTGATATTCTTTATGTACTGAGCTTAAATCTTGAAACTTTCTGAATTTCCATCGAAGCAAGCCATGAAATTAATCAATAGGTAAGGACTGACTTGTGTACATCCCCAGATGTCTCTCCATAACTGTGTCTAGGTGCATCTTTTTGTACTCTGCCACTCATTGCACTATGTCCTTTGTTAATATGTCTACAGTTAACAGATTTTAAATAAGTGTCTTGGTATGTATGACGTTATCACAGCGATGACCAGAAGCACCACATAGATGGGATGCAGCCAAAGTCCAGAGGCACTCTCTGGAAATATTCCAGGAACTCAGAAACAGGCTAAAACTTCATCTAATCCAAATACTGAAAGGAAAAAATTATAATCTTCTCCTTGTACAACTTCACAATAATGCGTGACAGGAAAAGCAAGAACAAAACCTTTTATAGAATCCCAGAGCTAGAAACGGCCTCTAAGTTATTTATTACACCAAGTCCCTCATTGTACAGATGTAGAAACAAAAGCTTACAAAAGTCTCTATACCTTGCTCATGTTCACACAGCAAGCTGGTAGCTGCACTGGAATTAGCACCCATCTCTTATTTTCAGGTTCGTGTTCTTTCCACTGTATCGGTGGTCTCCAAAGGTTATGACTGAACACTCTTTTAATCAAAAACCACTGAGGGCATGCCACCTATATATATATTTGTTTGTTTATTTATAAGTTCAATGAATATGCATTGTATAAATTCACTTGATTCGATTGTTAGGAGATTTTAAAGATAGAATTCAGTTAAAAAGAAAAAAAAAGTGCTAGTATTTCTTTCTACATGTCCACAGCTTGCCTTTGTGGACTCCGTTCTTAGGAGATCATAACACCACATCACACTGCCCATGATGACTTTGATGTTGTTTTGCTTTTCCTGAATCATAAACTGGGGTTCTGAGATCACCACAGCCCAGACAAAATAAAACAACAACAACAACCCAAAAAAAAGAAACCCTCGTTTGGGCTGGGGCTGTGGCTCAGTGGTAGCATGTGTAAGGCACTGGGTTCAATCCTCAG